AGCTATTTTGTGAACGTACTGAAACAAAATTTGATACGTAAATATTTCTAACATGTAATGCTATTATAACAGAGAAAGGTGATGCGTTTAAAATTCCTGTTAGAACTGACAAAAAAATGTTTGCTTACTATGTAATAAAATTGTAATTTTGTCATTCGAGATTATTTAGCAATTTAAGTTTTAAATTATCCTTAAATACCTTATTATGAACGATAGTTTTTGCTTTTTGCATATGAGTTCTATTTAATGGTAACGCTATTATTTAAGTTGCACTGGCTTTTTAAATTAGGGAGACAATCAAATTTGTCTGCATATTATCATTGTTTTTACAATGATAATATGCAGATATTGTATATAGGACAGAGTCCTCGGATTTTTGTAGCATCTAAAATAGCGCAAAATAGCTAGCAACAATTGCCTTGTGCTAAGATGCGAAATTTGCTACGTTTGCACTAAACATATGATTATTACCTTTGTTCTTAGTAATTATAAGCATATTTTAGATGATAACCGAAGAACTTATTGAAATGATAGCGATAGATAAAGAGCTTGCAGAGAAAGAATTCTTAATAAATATAAATTTATAATAAGCTATTTTGCTAAATTCGCTGATTTCACTAGCTATTTTTGCTATCTATTTTTGCTATCTATATCTGGGTTCCTGACATAGCGATAGGATTTATAAAATTCAATTGTTTCCCTAATTCAGTAATTGTAAAATCAAAAAACTTTATAATTGTTCACATGACCCGTTAACCCGGGTCATGACCCAGATAAATATCTGACCTGTCTGGGTCACTATTTTCTGACCCAGGTCAAAGCTCTAAATATAACTCTTATCATATTCTATATTAAAGCAGTGAAAATATATATATACTATGTAATATATATCTTATTAATATTTCCTTGCGGCTTGTTTAATATTTATTAGCCATCCAAGTTTTGTAACCCCCAATTCTCTTAGAGATTCATCATTTAAATCTTTAATAGCATTCACAGTTAACTTCTCTCTTGCGAATGCCGCTTCCAATTTTAAATAATCATTATCACTATCATCATAGGCCTCATTTAAATTTTTAAAAAACTCACTAAGTGTGGGAGTTGAATCAGAAATTGATGTTGGTTGTGAAATATGCGTTTGTAATTGTATATTATTAACCCTAGTAGCATAAACCATGCCAAAAGTCAGATAGAACGGAGGTACTTCAGTTGTAGTAAGTTCAGCCTTCTGTAATAATATCGATATTTATTAATACTAAATATATATGTATTTATATATTTATTATATTATTATGGCTATTATGGCACATTTAATGAATTTATAGTTTCTAAATTTAAATTTTTATTTCTAAATTTTGCTAATCTATATTGATAATACACTAACCATTAGGCCACTTCAAATTGATTCTTCGTTTAATATAACATTAAATAATTCATAGGAGTGGAGAAGGGTATAAAAAATACACAAATTAAAAAAGATACAGCAATTCTATTGGCTGTAAGAAATATAAAATACAGTCGACTCTGATTATAACGAACTTCAATATAATGAATTGTGGATATAATGAACACAAAATTCCATAGTAGTTCGGTATAGAAAGTGCCATTGATTTTTAAGAAAACATAGTAATTTTCTATAACAAACTTTTTTTTTTCTTTCAGAACCATTAGTTCGTTATAGAAAGAGTTGACTGTATATAAAAAGCCAATACTGCAATTTGATTGATTAATGTGATGTGTATATTTTCATAAAATTTTGAAAAATAGAGAGGAGGTTATGTTAAACGATGGCCCGGTCTTAAGTATATATACGTACGTAGATAGGTATTGAAATTCAAAAAAGGAAATTAAACAATATTACGTACTTGATTATTAATTATTGTTTTAATTGCCTTTTTTGAATTTAGACATACATTCATTTTTCTTATCTAATACTAACTTCATCCTGTGCCCATAAGTGCAAGCGTGCAGGCATTAATTGAAGATGCTTATTATCTTCAATATAACAAGGCGTAGGATAGACATGGCATTGATATTTTGTTCGAATCTGTGAAATGATATTAGCCAATTTGATTTCATTAGAAGTAAGGTTTGATTCCTTTGGTACATGGTTAGTTTTTAATTTCTTGGATTTTTTTTTCGATGTCTCTTTATTGTAATCGCTATCTTCTTTAAGTAATTCCTATAAATATAATTAAAAAAAATTATATTGGTTTAAAATATAATAGTCTATTATAATATGAACTTACATACCTTGGCTTTTCATTTATTAGATTCTAATATAATATATAGCACCATGAATTTCTTTGAACTTAGATTTTTGCACTCGGTAATGAATACATCATAATCACATTCATCATCTAATAGCATCGCATGACCTCGTCTGTTTACTTTATAAGAAATTTCCATATTATTTTTATCAATTTTGTTATTATGACATTTACGAATATGTTTCATAAGATCATTACGGGCGTCGATGTAGAACTTTCAACATTAATAATAACCTTTGCTTGTAGTTCCAAATGCAGATCTAAACTATTATCTAAATGCAAATCTGAACTATTATCTAAATGCAAATCCGAACTATTATCTAAATGCAGATCCAAACTGTTATCTGATAATATGTAGTTAGTTGAAAAATCCAAATTATCAAAAAAATCTAAGTCACTATTTAATAAACTAGAGTTTGTTGAAGAATCAGAATCTTCAACAATGATATAGTTAGCACTGGTTGGAAAAGGGGTTTATATCAGTACGGTTGGAGAGGGGTTTGTATTGGCACCGGTTAAAGGGGTTTGTATCAGCATTAGTTGAAGAGAAGTTTGTATTAGTATCAGTTGAAAAAGAGGTTTGTATCAGAACGGTTAGAGAGGGGTTTGTATTAGCACCAGTTGGAGAGGGGTTTGTATTAGCACTGATTGGAGAGAGGTTTGTATTAGCATCGGTTGGAAAGGGGTTTGTATTTTTTAAACTTGTTTTGGAATGTGTATAGCGGCTATGACAATTATTACAAAAACTAAGTTTAAAGTTTTTATTAAAATCACAATTATAATCCAAACGATTATCATGATTTTTAAGAAATAATTTTTGATTTGGATGTGATTTGTTAGGATCATAAACTCGACTGTAAACTTGATCTTTATTACTACGAGAAGGTTTTTGCATTGTATTACATTCACATAGATCTTTAGCTAGATCTGTAAAGCAAAAAAGACATTTTTGACATGAAAAACATGTTTCAATTTTGTAGCAAGATGACATTTTACTTACACATATAGTAAGTAATTATGCTACGTAACAGTTTAAATACCTTTTACGTTCATTGTTCCAAATATTATATACATATGACGTAATATATAAAGATGACCAATGCTTAATAGAAAATAAACAAAAGTCTATATATTAGTATCTTCACTTTTAATATTAATACTGACAAATGTTATAAAATTGTACTGTACATACAAATATATCGACAATAATAATATACGTTAAAGTGTCAAGAAATTGTTAAATCTCTGAAATTGAAAATTAGATATTCTTAGGGCTAAAACTCAATAACAGATTTCTTTGGTTGTCTTAATATAATTGTATAATAAGAATTCATACTTTTAATTCAATAGTGTAGATATTACATTGTTCCCATTTTTTCAGAGAACAAATAGTATCTAATCAATAATTTTTGCATATGACGGATAATACTTTCTTTCAATAAGAGATAAAGTACTGGCCATTGTAATAAAGAAAGCACTAGAGAAAATTGTTTTAAATATTGGTGGCATTAAAATAAATTTCCTTATCAATTGTCGTTATATAGAAATCATCTTTCTGTTAATACAGTAATATAGTATGTGAAAATATCATTTTACTTTATACTACATTCCCTTGAACAAAGCCTTATTGTACCCAATTAATAGCAATAAATGTGTATATAATATGTAATAGGTATTTTTATAGCATACATCATTAGAAATATTTACTGGTGAACATTAGAAGCTGCAAAATATATAAAAATATCCTGAACCATTAGGTATTGGTGGAAATGAAGTTCCCAATTATAAACATATAGACCAGGATATATTCTGTAATCTTGATAAAGTACTTGAACTATTCAAAGAGTTTTGATACTAATCAATTATTTCAGTTATTTAAATATATAATTTTAAA